TAATTATGATTTGTCGAACAAATTGAACAGACTTCATTATTGCGACAAAACTTAGCAATGTGACCGAAACGCATGCAACGTAGGCACTGCTTAACAGGTGGAACGTATGGACTGACCTCGTGTCTCCAATGGTCTAGATATACGTATTCTGGCAACTGAGTAGAGGCAAACGTTACTGCGACTGTTTGCGTGGGCTGGTACGAGACTGCACCAGCATCCCCCCGCACACGCCGCATGAACCGCCGGACTTGTATAATGTTTTTGGAGCTACCTATCAAAGAGAAAATGTTTTTATTTGACAATTCGGTAGGGACAGATTTTAGCACACCGGTTACTTCAGTGTCCTTTGCTGGAATGGTGGCCACTACGTCCAACTCTTCCAAAAGTTTAGCATTTTGTAAAAAAACATTGGCATTGTTCGAAAGATCGAACGTTATGCCGACTTTATACCGATTAACCGGCCTTAAATGTAAAACACCGGACACGCAATGTGTTCGGATGGCTTTTGAAATTTTTATTCTGTCTTTGTCCGTAAATGGCGTATCATAAGTTTTGTGAGACAAAAACACAACAAACTCTGTTTTATCTGCATTTTCAGGATATTTCCTTTGATACCCAGTTACTTTAAAGATCTTGAATTTCTGAGAGGTCTCAGACTCATCGTCCGAAGAACGACGACTATCATCGCCACCCCCAAAGTCTTTTTTCCGCTTTTTCGTACTAGCCATTTAACTTCTATATACCTATATTTGAATTGAAACACTATTTACATAAAACTATACAAGAATACACAAAAAAAAGAGAAAATTAAAATTAATGCAAAAAAAATCTTCAAAGCGCGCCTTTCCTCTTCGAAGGTTCCCGCCGAAAAAAAAAACTTATTAAGGTTAATAAATAAATAAACATTGATTGATTGTCAATGTCAAATAAAATGACTGACATTTCTTTTTTTTTAAAGCTTTACTGGCTCAGCTCCCAGTCATTTAATCCAATTATATGGGAACTTTAAGTGTAATTATCTTTTTACTCCCATGTTCTAAAAATATGAGTTATTATCTTAATTGTTTCTGAAAACATTCTAACAAATCTGTACCATTTTCATCACCCTACGCGTTCTCTAAAGTATTTTATAGGCGATACCCAAACACCCTAGTTTTCTGCCAATCTCCTTTGCTTATGAAAAGTTTGTAGATCTACGTACTTTTTTTGAGTGAAATCTAGAAGTTAGAATAGGTGAAACCGAATAAAACGAGTTTTTTGTTATACAAGAGATAAAACTATATTTAAGAGATTTTGATAAAATAGTTTCTTTTTAACTTTAACTTATGTCTAGATGTGAGGTCCTGTAATTGACTCTTTGTCTCTTCTATTCATTTCTAGTTTATTAAGATAAGCTGTTGGTCTTCCATGAAACCAAAATAAATAAAATAAAAAGAGTGCATGAAAAATATGGGTCAGGCCGTAGATTTTACAAATAGCGCAATGGTGTCGCAAAAATTTCTACGAGTCCATAGCGCAGAGTGACGCAAAATGGTAACGCAAAATTGTTTGTAGCACTGTCCTTACGTACTTAGGACAGTGCTACAAAATAAAACACACTTTTAATAGGTAAGTATGACAAACGTCAGCTTTTATTCTTATCTTTAAGTCTTAAAAGGTGTTACAAAAAAGCGGAGAGTTCTATTGCTAGAAATACAATTCCTTCACAGGAACTAAAATCGAAACCTCAAAAAAAAACACAAATATTACAAAAGCTAAAAAAACACCTGCAAGCCTATGTGTGCAAGCTCCTTTATTTGGTAGCGTAAAATTAGTAGCGCAAATTCTACGCCCTTGGTATCGCAAAGTTGCATAAAGTCATTTTTGCGCAACTGTTGCGCAAACAAAATCCATTATAACTTGATAAATAAGCTATTTTCTAATGTAAATTAAGCCTTGAAAGATGTCAAACATTTTATTAAATCATGCGCAATAATAAGTATAGATATAAATCAAAAACTTACCGTGATATATCAAAAAACACTCTCCGCAAAAAATATGACACTTCCTTCTTTCAAACGATGTTGATGTTGGACTGAAAAAAATATGACCGCTGACAGCGTATTGACCATAGATAAAGTATGTTCGGTGTTGCCACTACTCAGACTTGAATATTGCTATTTTTTAAACACAACCAAATGGGCATTTATTAGTTGCGCAATAAAAAGTAGCGCAAAGGAATGGATTTTGACGTTTTTCGAAAATGAGTGAAAATTTATGAAATTTCTTAGGTAATAGGAAACGATATTTAAAATGTGGCTAGCTAACTATTATTGTATAGCGTAAAAGCACACAGACTATCAAAAAGATTTTTATTTTTGATTTACTGATGCTCAAAGTGCACCTCTACCGGGGCGGATAAGCGTATTTTACGAAAAATTCATCGCTTTTTGTAGCAAAATATTTTATAAATTTCTAATGTTTTGAAGATATTTAAATATATTTATTGATCGCGATTCACCATTTGTGAGGAATATGATTCTGTTATTGAAAAAAATGTAATTACCGTACATTTTTTTTTAAATGTGGCGGAGAGTTATGTTATAACTAATGTGGCAAAATTTACCGGCCTGACCCATATAGTAATTATCATGATTGTATTATACGAGAATTCAAAAACACAGTAAAGTTGTGGTTTAAATTGCCTAGAGATATAAACATACCTACACATTTAACACATGTTTAAAACTTGCAAAATCCTGTAACTTTATTGACAATGTACCTACTAAGTCAAATAGTTTTTCGTTTCTGCTTTCACAAATCCGGCGCCCAGCATTAATTTAGTCGACAAATCCGATAAACGGAAACGTTTCTACAAGTTAAAAGAGTTTTTAGATATATTTTAGAGCGACTATATTGACGTTTAGTTGTTTAAATATTTTGTGACATCACAATCATGGTGGATAGCGTTTTCAAAGTTTAAAAAGTATAGACTAAAAAAACATTTTTTCAATTTAAATTACTACTGCCATATTCTAATATTATGAAGTTAAATCAATGTATTTAGATTCCTCAAACTACAAAAATACGAGTGTGCTTATGACCACACGACTGAAATGAAACTTCTTTATCCCCCACTCAAGTCTCGTTCGCCTCGCCCGTTTCGTAATGCATAACGCATTCGCCAGCATTTGTATACTTTTTAAGTAAAGTAACAGAGAGTATGCTTCTTTATTCTAGTGAGTTATGTTATTTTGCAAATTTGTACAAACTAAAAGAAAATACGTAGATTCTGGGACTAAAGTTAGTAGGTTTGCAGAAAGGGGTTAAATTACCTAGATCTATGTTAAAAGACGTAGAGTTGGCAACACTGGACGGAATGGACCGTAGAAAACTTTTTTATGTGGGCTTTGGACTCATAGGGTGCGGCCAGAGTGCACTCAGATTCAGACTCAGATTTCGAAAACAAGCGCGAGAAATAAACAGTGTAGTCGAAGGGTACGGCCAGATTGCACTCCTGATTCAGATTCAGATTCAGACTCAGAAAACAAAGCGCGAGAAAAAGCAGGCAACCTGCTTAGACTACACTGTTTATTTCTCGCGCTTGTTTTCAGAATCTGAATCTGACTCTGAATCTGAGTGCACTCTGGCCGCACCCATAGGTCCGAATCCGGCTCACTGAATGAACGCAGTTCAGTAGGCCCGAATCTGGCATGATTCTCTAAGCCTAATAAAATTAAATTTGACAACAGTCTATCCTTTTCATGCTTTATACAGAATAAGAAAGAGAGAATTTTGATTTTGACTGTTGATCGCGACTTAATACAGATTATAAAATTATAAAGTGGTTTGATTTTTATATAAAAAATGTAGTAAAAAAAAAACCCGTTTCCCCCCAAACCCAAATTTCTTCCCCCCAAAAATATTTAATCCCCCCAATCTGGTATCAGTGTCTAATGTAAACAAGAAGATTAAAATTTGTATTTATGTATACGACTGAAGGACTTGCATCCATGGTCATGAATTATTAAAAAAAAAGATGTGATATGACAGTCACAGGTCACAGTCACAGCGCAGGGAATCAGGTTTTTTTTTGGCGGGATTTCATCGTGTGTGGTTGGCGTCTTATTTTAATTATTCTTAAATTCGTTCATAGTGGATATTGTGAAATAAAATTGGTGTAGTTTTGTGTTACAACTGTCTACGTAACTGAAGAATTAGTGGAATCGTTAAAATATACGCTATTCCGGTCAAGTGGACGTGAGAATTTTATTGTTGTGTTGATTATCTCACAGAAGCTTATCGAAAAAGCCAACTCGATACATTTCGTACCAAACACTCCAAGAAACATTAGAATGCGGTACACCGACATTCTAATGTAAAAACAAAAAAAAGATTAATTTAATTAAAGACCAGGTTGTATGGACATTGTTCCCTTTGCCTTCCGTAAAACGGGAGAACTTCAACAAAAAAAAATCACAGGGAATTAGCGGTGGGTCGTTCTCAAATTTTCTGACGACGAAACGCAACCGATTTTTCTTAAACGAAAACTAGTCCTCGAAACGGTTCTCGTTCGCAACTGGTTTTGGTTGCGGCTGGGTGACGCAACGAAACTACACGCGACGGTCGAACGAATGTAACGCAACGAAACTGAACTAAATGAAATCTTGTTAATGTTCGTTTCGTTGCTGCGAACGAGACGACGAAACATCGAAATAAATGTTGTGTTATACAATAATCGACTTTAAAGGTTCAATAATAAAGATTATATTATTGTAAAATGAAAGCATAATTATCATAGAACGAAACGGCCTCATATCATTGCGTTCTATTATAGACTGTATTTACTATATCATAAAGTACATATTGGCGTGCAGACAATCCGAGGACTAGTTGTTCGACGAAGACTGTTTTGATCCGAAACGTAAAACGGTTCTATCGTCGCGGAACACAAAACGGTCCTTGAAACCGGTTCGTCTTTAGAACGATCACACCTACAGGGAATCATTTATTTTTTGACTGTCGTGTGCGGTCTGGTAGGAAAAAAATTGAAGAAAATGCAATAGCTCTAGGAGACAGTGTATCGTGGGTACTTAATTGTATCTATGACTTATTGTAGTGTTTTTTTAACGAATAATTTAATTACTTCACGTTTTTAGATGGTATAGTTCATTAGTAAAACAAGTCTTACGTAATAAAAATGGGAAACAAAGTGTCAGCCGAAGCTGGTCTGAATACTCAAAGAGTAGAAAATGATAAAAATGGTCAGCCTCCTCCGGAGTGCCCTATGCACAACAAATTAAATAATACACCAGATACCGTGCAACACAGCAGTGATAGAGCTGATTCTAAGAAGCCTTCGGATTGTCCAGTTCAACATGGAAATGACATCAACCCATATAATATGGTATGGCATTAGCTCATTATTTCTGCCATTTAACATTGATTATGTTACAAAATTGATAGCATTTGGCCTTTTGTTTTGTTAATGTTTTTCTGGTGGAATTCTTCAGGTTTAGAGACAGGGTCTTTCTGTTAAATATTTTAAAGTTTTAGAGATTATGGTTTGGTCAAAGTATGCAATTGCAGCAATCTTTTAAATGTGCAGATATAAAATTTTATTAAGGGAAATTATATTAATATCTGTGAAGATAGATATTGGAGTCCATAGTTACTGATAAATAAAGTATAAAAGCCTGAGTAATGTAGGAAGTATGGCACAAGGCATAGAACCTCCATGGAATATCTAGTTGTGTTTGAATCTTTAAAGAAGTACAGTTTATAATCTTTTCCACTCAAATTTGTTTTAATTTGGAATTTAGTTATTTGTGGGGGTTGTTCCGATTTTTTTATAAGTGAAATCTTATTGTAAAAAAGCTGAATACCTCAGTGATTATTTTTATTAACTAGCAGTTCCAGGTAATAATAATAGATTTCTATACAAATTCAACCTTATAGTTTCTCTAAAGAAAACTGATTTAACTCCTGATAAATTAATTTCAATACATAAATTAAGATAATTAATTATTCTAAATAATTAACAACAATAATTTACAAAGAGGATCACTCACTATCTACTAAACATATATTTTTTTTATATTGAACCACATCAAGCAGTGTCAAGTTTTGTTACATTTCTATAAACAGACTGATATAAAGTCAAAGTTACTTTTATATTTTTAATTAGATGGAATTATCATCAAAAAAGTCAATAGTGAGCGAGTTTACATTACAATAAACAATTTGTAATATTTAAATGTGTAATTCTTCTTACAGATGCCAGCAGCAAATCAGCAACCATCTCCGGACCAGCCATTTTCATTGCCTACAAATAGACAGGTTTCATCAATCCCAAGAGCAATGCCAGATGGTTCTACCGAGTTCTGGGTATATCCCAGCCAGCAAATGTTTTGGAATGCAATGTTGCGTAAAGGCTGGAGATGGAAAGATGAGGATATTAAGCAGAAAGATATGGATGATATTATCCACATTCACAATGCTAATAATGAACAAGTACAAATTTATATATATTTTTTTTAAGTGGACGTGAGAACTTTATTGTAGTGTTGACTACCGCACAGAAGCTAATCGAAAAAACCAACTCAATACATTTCGTGCCAAACACTCCAAGAAACATTAGAATGCGTCCTACTGACATTCTTATGTCAATGTTACCAGAAAGCCATTTCGCCTTCCCCCCAAAACTTACCCGTAACCCCCCCAAAATACAGGTTTTAAAAGAAAAAACCCCCCAAACAAGCAAAATATTCTTTAAAAATACAATATTTACTACATAGTATGTATTTTTGCAACAGCATCCATTACTGGAGTTCTATTTTTGTATCACTCGCCTTGCGTCGAACGCTCTATTACTGCTAATTTTCATTCGACATAAATAATTCCTTATTTTTGAATCGATCGAGTGCAACGAATGGGTGAGACCTATTGTTGCATGGTAAATGGTGGAGGCAAATGATAGAATATATAATATAATATTTTTTTTTTAATATTAAATTTTTGTCATTTATGAATTAATAAAATAAACTTGTGTGTAGGCTTGGCAAGAAGTTCTGAAATGGGAAGCACTGCATGCAAAGGAGTGTGGACACCCTCGCCTTAAGAGTTTTGGCGGAAAGGCTACTCAGTACAGTCCCAGAGCCCGTTTTCGTTCTCTATTGGGGTATGTATGGACATTAATAAATTCACAAAAAAGAATCCATAATACAAATATTTCTGTTCTTTTATTTTCAGGTATGAATTACCATTTGACCGTCATGATTGGATTGTCGATAGATGTGGGCAAGAAGTACGCTATATAATTGATTATTATGATGGTGGAGAAGTTGACAATAAATATCAATTTGCTCTGTTGGATGTCAGGCCAGCATTTGATTCTTTTGAGAATGTCTGGGATAGAATGAAAGTGTTTTATATGAGATATCGTTATGAACTCATTGGTAATAAAAAAAGTTCTGAACTAACAAATTAAAACTATAGCATGCAATGAAAAAAGAAATAATGCATTAATATTTGTTTTGTGGAGTCCATCTGTCGACTTTAATGTCACTGATGGAACTCTTTGTGATTGTATTTTGGTGTTTTAATATATCATATGAATTACAAGTTTGCTTAGTTGTTTAGTAAAATTGTGAATAATCTTCAATTTCCCACCTATAAAATCTCTTTCATTGTTTAAATATGTCCAGATTATGTTATTTACCCAAATGTCAGTTTAAAGAAATTATACCTGTCTGCCAAATCAGATTTTATTTTTATTTTTTTAAAGTGTATTTGTATCCATTTGTAATTTTAAAATATATTTAAATAACGCACTGAGGGAATGCACCATAAGAATAATTAAATCTATTACTACTATCACTTTATTACAAAATAAACATACATAGGTATTCATGTACATTGTTCTGCCCAATGAAAATATAAAATCGTAAAACCTTAATGTTCTTATTTTCTGCGCAACTTTCTTAATCATTTTATCCGTAAGAACCTTCATCAAAGTATTGGAAAAATTAAAAAAGTAACCAGACAAGTATGAGTTAAGACTCGTCCAATGAGGTTTCCGTATTCACCATAGGCTAGTTGACACTGGTGCCAATTCTGACGTGATTCTCTAAACTTAAAACTAAATTTAACATCAGTCTCTCCTTTTCATTCTGTATAGAGAATGACAAGGATATACTGCTGTCAAATTTAAGTTTAGGATTAGAGAATCATGCTAGAATCGACACCACTGTTCGGGAATATGTTTAAAATGGTTATTAATGAGGGCTATCGTTTTTTGTCTTACCAGATGGCGCCACTGTTGAGTGAGGTCCTGAAGTGTAGTTTTTAAAGTTAGTTAATACGGTCGTGATATCAAAGTTTACATTTATAATCATATTTTAATACAAAAGAATCGTATTGTAACATAATCGCCCATGCCACAGAGTTGCTCAGACCCGTTTTGTTCGGAAAAAAGAAGGACAATATTTTTTCTTAGCTCCGCTTTTAAATAACTGACATCCGTTGACACGTAACTCATATTTGTCATAATAAGTCTGATTTATTAGCAAATATTCACAACTATTATTTTAAGTAGAAAAAACCGCGTAGTCGACCCACAAGCTATAACATTTGACATTTCGGAGACCTCACGCAACACAAGCGCCTCTAGCGGCGGTTTTAGACGCGATAGCCCTCATTGTTCTATTAGACCTAAAAAATGTATGTTTTTTGACCTAGAAAGCTACAAAACTTTAATTTTAAAGTAGAGTTTACATGGACATACAAAAGCGCTGTCGGCCATTTTAGTCTATAGATTTATCTATGCTATGACGTCCAAACATTTGTAAACAAACACTCGCAAGCACGTAGGAAATAGCCTATCTGAGTTTATATTATAAAACAATATTTTCTAATAGATAACATGAAAAATATGGTCATTATCATGATTGTATTATACTAGAATGTAGAAACAAATCGTTAGACTCCAGAAAAGTTATAGTTTAATAAACATACCTACATATTAACACCTGTTTGAAACTTGCTAAATCCTGTAACTTTATCGACTGAAAGTAATTTCTTTTTGCAAAGATCACTTCGATGTAAGTACTCATTGAATAATATTTAAAGTTTTTTAAATATACAATTTTTAAGGTGATTAATGTACCTTTAATGCGATTCAACTAAGAATAGGATCGACTGGGCGCCATATTGTGATGTCATAGCTGTCAATTCAAACCAAAAGAGTGAGCAAAAAAAAGTTTTTATTTATTAATAAAACTTATTTACTAAGATTAAGTGAGAAATTATCATCAGATTTTTTTTAATAACATTTATTTACTAACATTGAGAAAAAAAACATCGATTTTTAATAATATTTATTTATTAAGACTGAGAAAAACATTAATCAGAATCTAGCTCATCTATTCCACTCATCTCTGCATACTGCATTACCGTCGGAGTGGTTATGAATAATCATGCACTATTACTTGGTCACATACGAACTTGCATCCTTTATGTAAACGAAAGTTTGAAATCGAGTTTCTGAACGCAACTTAAAGTGACATTTGGTTGATGATTTAGGTTATCAACCATTCATGGCCAAAGCTCAATAAACGAAAAAAAATATCAACCGATATTAATTATCAATATTTGTTATCGTTTGTTTACAAATGTTTGGTTTTTATTCTTTAATTAGCTAAATGCTTAAAAAGGGTACCAAGTTTTTTTTTGCAAACCGTTCTTTTCAAGCGACATTTGACAGATAGAGGTCATTGGCTTTCCTATTCTTATTTGAATCGCATTATAGAGTCACAGAGTTTTGTCGTTTCTGCTTTCACAAAACCGGCGTCTAGCATTAATTTAGTCAACAAAACCAATAAACGGAAACTTTTCTACAAGATATAGGTAAGCTTTTTTGAAATATTTTAGTCCGACCAAAGAAACCGCAGTAACACGACAATGACGTTTAGTTGTTTACAAATTTTGTGACGTCACAGTTATGGTGGTCGGCGTAAAAAAGTAGTCTAAAAAAATATTTTTTAAAGTATAGACAATAAAAACTATGTTTCAATTTAAATTATTACAGCCATTTTCTACCAAAAATTATAAGAAATAAACATTTGTATTGTATAATTTGACATGAGTCAACTAGCCTATAAAGAATGCGCTAGGACCACTTACGTTAAGCTATAGTTTGTCTATAAAGTCGTGACATTAAATGATGGCGCCTCTAGTATGCATGTAGCAACCCTATACAGTCGGACCAAAATGGTTTTGATACTAGCAGTTCATTCAAGTAAAATAGGTAATTAAGACACACTATACAGTCGTATTTTGTTTCTGTTTATATATATATATATAGTAGGTACCTATGCTTGTAAAAGTTTAACCAAGCATATTTAATTGAATCAGAATAAAATTATTAGAGATAAAATAGTACTTTAAAGTGTACAAGTGTGTAATGTTGGTGATTACCGCTGAGGTGCCATTGAGACCAGTAGCTTTACCATGAGTTGACATCGAAAATTGACACTAAGTTATCACGGTCGTTAGCGTATACACACGCATCGAATAGATTTCACATAATCTTGTACCATGAGTTACAATAACATATGATAAACTCGCTAGCGAGGGCTCGATAGTCCGTATTATCATATTTCACACGTGTCTAACTTCACGCCCAATGTAGCTGTTTCTTTCTAACTTTTCATATATGACAGAGTACGATAGTTAATCCCGAAAATAAGATAATACAACTTATTTAAAACGTCGTAGAGCAAAGCGTAAAGTTTAGCTCTAGGACAACTTTTAAATTGTATTGGGTATATAATGCCGATGACATAAATTTAGTTTCCTTGTTGTTTCGGTGTGGCTGTTTGATTTCTTTTTATTTAATAAAATGAGAACTGGTTCTCATTCTCGCGTCCTAATTCCAGTTAATGGTGGATTTTATGAAAAGGTATGTGTATGGTGACGCGCTGGTAACTGCCGCGTGCATAAAATAATAATGCGCACAAAACCTGCATAATTATGTAAACAGTTAAAATATCGGCATAGGGCAATACAGTCTTACAAGTTTACGAGTATAATTTCCAATTAGACTAACCTTGGATTCCAGCGACTCTCTGTGTTGATCTCAAATCCGTGTAATATACTAACAACACACAAATCCTCAAAAGCTTCCTTATTAAGCCTATATTTTTTTATAAAGTTATTTTCGCTTATGTGTTTCAGAGGATTTTCAATTCTCTTTCTAATGTTAGCTTGAAAATTTGCTTGATCGTATCGTTCATCTTGATAAGTAGCTGCCGTTATCATATTCCATGCGAAATAACTTCTTGCCGACATTATTTTCACCAAAACTACTCCAAACTTAATAATTCTCAAACACCTTGGTTCAATCAAACACCCTTTCACGCCCCAATTAGGCAGTGAATTACTTAACTACAGACGTAAAGGTATTTCTCGATAACATCTGTCAAATTTGTGACTCATGGTACCGAATTGTAAGGAAACTCCTTCAAAACGTTACTCACCTATCGAATAGATTTCGATAGGGTTTAATTTGTTGACTCATACTACCGATTTCGGTTCTGTGAGTTTCCGCTAGAGGCGCTGTACTTTTTTTCATAGAACTTTTAATCACCGACGCTAGCGAGTTTAGTCGCTATTAACTCATGGTAAAGCTACAGAGCCGTTAGGTAATCATCAATACACACAAGTATCATACGACGTTTTTTAACACAATAAAGTTTATTTAGAGAAACAATTTGTAAATGTGCAGTTAGTAAAATTAGTGACAGGTATCTTCACTAAAAGCATCTGGCCATGGTTCTTTATGTGACCATTTCTTTCTTTGGTCGGCCTTGCCTGTTTTCCCAGGAGTTTCAAACTTTCCATCATTCTTAAAACCTTCGTTGACTATCCGACTCTCTGATTTTCCTGAAAAAAAGTAAAAAAATATGTAACGGAATAGAAACAATAACTTATTGACATGAAGCAATTAATTCAAAATTGGTAGAAAACCCGACCGAGTTGAACCATAATAACGTATCAAAAGAAATGGTCGTACTACAATATTACCTATTTAAAATCAATCTAACCTAAAAATGTGCAATGTAAACAATGCCTTTTTTGGTCTCAAAATCGTAAATTGAGTAAATTTGTAACTTCAGGCAGATTACAAACAAATAGTTACACGATTACATACCCGTCATAGATGCTGTTCGCCCATAAACATCGTCCAAATCTCACAAAATTCGTCCAGCTTGGTAGTCTTCGGAACATCGCTGGAAAACTTTAAAATTCACTTCCCGCGTGCCACTCCGATTTACTTTACTCATTTTTATGCCTTTCTGCGTAGTTTTCGTCTTAATTTATTACAGTTTAATCCAAACAATAAAAAATACAAAAAGAAAACTGTTCCACAACTGAAACTCGATGACAGCTGATGTACATAAGTTTGGTGTTGCCAGACACATGAATAATGTTAGTTCCTCAAACATTCATGTCACGACTTTATAGATAAACTGTATGTTTGGAGGAACCTAACCAAAAACTCAAGATCTGCAATGGTCGCGAATTGTTTTTGTGATTCATCTGTTGCCGATTAAGATGGTCAAAGGGTACGGCCAGAGTGCACTCAGATTCAGATTCAGACTCAGAAAACAAGCGCGAGAAATATACAGTGTAGTTTAAGCAGGTTGCCTGCGGCCACTATGGCTACCCTGCTTTAACTACACTGTTTATTTCTCGCGGTTGTTTTCGGAATCTGAATCTGAGTGCACTCTGGCCGTACCCAAAGATTCGAGTGGTCTACCCACCCGTTAGTTAGTTTAGCACCAATATGTCAAGAGCTCGATGGCGCAGGTGGATAGCGCTTTCAGCTGCGATCGTTGAAGTTAAGCAACTTTCGCAGTGGTCGGTCATTGGATGGGTGACCAAAAATTTACTATCTCGAGTTCCTCCGTGCTTCGGAAGGCACGTTAAGCCGTTGGTCCCGGCTGCATATGCAGTCGTAAGCACCCACCAATCCGCACTGGGCCCGCGTGGTGGGTCATGGCCCAATCTCCCTATTCCATCCATAGGGAAGGCCTGTGCCCCAGCAGTGGGGACATTAATAGGCTGATGATGATGATGATGATGATGATGTCAATCTGACTCAGCATTTCATAACAATGTAAATTGATATACTGGTTTTAAAATTAAACTAATTACTGACAAATCAATCCTTTATTTCTATGATTCTGCATGAAGTAAATACATTACATCTTTATAAGTTCTCAATATTCATTACTTGGTTGCTGTTGTTGTGCAGCACTCCCTTGCATTCATTCTTGAATATTTGAACTTGCTGTTCAATGTAGCCTTCAAAATTTTTATAAGGGCAGGAAGGGAGCACTTTGAATTTTGGTTTGCCCTTGTTACAATGGTAAACGGATCGTAATGTCAATATTGGGGGTTTATCAGGAAACTTTACACCTGAAACAATGAATTACGTTGACATATTTTATTAATGATAGCCTGATACTGGGCGATGGATATATATCTCCTTGTGGTGTTGCCAGGGCAGAATTAACTCACCAATATCTATTTGAAGGATCCAATGAAAATCGTTCATTTCAAAGAGGAATGCTGCATTGTTTGCATCATGTTCTAATATAGCACCTTCATATTTCACTATCAATTGCGCTAAAAGCTCTCGTTTCAACTTTTCATTGTTAAGAAGCTCCTTAATCTGACAACAGTAAAGAATGACAAAAGATTTACATCGAGTATATCTACTGAAATAGAAGAGTTGCAAAGTGAACTATCGAACTAAATCGTGAAATCATTGTAAACTTTATCTAGGTATATAGCAGGTACGGACCGCGAGGAAGAAAGACGGTTATATTGAATATTATATTGAAAACGGACTCGTTACATCTGCCTGATTGCTTAGAATTAACATCCAAACTAAATACCTACCTAACTATCTACCTATATATTAAACTACAAGTAACTTAGAATTTTTCTATTGTTTGTTACCGAAACAACAGGAAGATACGTCGGGTTGAGTAAAACCGTGAAGTTGTCTAGCTTTAACTGCAAATCCGTACGAAGATCACAAGCTTACGTCAAGCAGTTGTGTGATATGATTGCACTACAGGAGTTATGGTTGATGCCGGACGACTTGGGTTTCCTGTCACACATTCACAAGGATTTTGAATATCATGCAGTGTCACCAATAGACACATCGACTGGTACGCTCAAAGGAAGACCATATGGTGGAGTAGCTGTGCTGTGGAGGAGGTCATTATTCGCAAATGTCTCAACAATAGTTTCAGGCTCGAAGCGTGTTGTAGCAGTTAAAGTGGAACTTGCAGACCGCTGCATGCTGGTCCTGTCAGTGTATATGCCAACTGAGTGCGCGGACAACCTACTAGAGTTTACAGAATGCCTTGGTGTTATCAGTTCAATCATAGAAGATAGTGGGTGGTATAGAGTGTGCGGTGGTATTAGGTGATTTTCGGATATAGGAAGTATGTTTGGAAAGGAATTGGCTGCATTCTGTATGGACCAGGATTGGGTTTGTGCTGACATACACATGCTTGGTGAGTCATCCAATACTTTCACGTTTTTGAGCGAAGCTCATGGAACATGTAGTTGGCTCGATCATTGTGTTGTGACGCCAGCAACGTACAATATGATAAAAAGTATACACATCGTTGATAACTTTTATACTTTTTATCATATTGTACGTTGCTGGCGACCATAACTGGTCAGATGATTATCCTTTAATAATTGAATGTGGCATCTCAGTAATTATACCAAAGAAAATTTTAAGTTGTGTTAATAAAAATAGTCAGGTTGTGTGGGGAACGAGAAATAGTAAACAAATAGCTATAATAGATATTTGCACGAAATACACTCCCGGACTCTTGAATCGAGCCACCTTACATTCCCGGGCCTAAAAGCCCCAATACACAAAAAATATACAATATAACAAAAAAGTTTTTATGCATTTTTAATGCTGGCATATTTCATCGTCTTTCCCGTATGTATTATTCCAAATTTGAATTTTAGAATTTAAAATAAAGAACAAAAGCCGAGCTTGGTCACTGATTTGAAAAAAATAATGACTGTTGAAAGTTGCTTTTGAAGCAATTTAATGTCGATTTGGTTTGTATTTTCGCAATTGTTGTAAACCAAAGTTTAGTTTAGTTATTTTTCTATAATTTGAACCGTTTTTGGCTATAAAATTATGAATACTTCACCTGAAGTAGCCGCGCAAGCTGTAGCACTTCTTCAATCTGGGCTAAGTCAGCGAGATGTGAGTTCACAACTTCACATAAGTCGTTCCGCTGTTCAAAGAGTGTACCATCGATACCTGGAGACTGGCGGCTTCGTTCGGCGAACAGGAGGACCTCGTTACCGAGTGACAACAGCGAGACAAGATCAATACATTGTCACTACTAGCTTACGAATTGACGCCTTAACTCTGTTCAGATACAAGAACAGCTCAGGGAATTTCACGGAGTGGCAGTAAGTGCTCGGACCGTTAGAAGGCGACTCAATGAACGTGGTTTAAAGCCCCATAAGCCAGCCAATGGACCCAAATTGACACGAGCACACCCAATAGCCCGTCTAGAGTTTGCGCGCGAACATCTAAATTGGACTCGACATCAATGGAGCCAGGTTCTCTTCACAGATGAGTCCAAGATAATGCTTTACGGTCATGACGGAAGGAGTAAGGTATACCGAAGACAGAACCAGCGTTTCGCGCAATGCTGTATTGAAGAGAAAGTGAGTTATGGTAGAGGATCATGTACAGTCTGGGGAGGAATCTCTATGGAAGGCAAAACTGAGCTAGAGTTAGTGACGGGATCACGACAGCCGCCCCTAAATGGCAATAGATACATTCGCCAATATTTAGAGAACCACGTGATGCTATATGCTGGATTTATTGGCCAAGATTTATTTTTTTTAAATTGTAAAAAGAAACCAGTCGTGGGATGGAATTATCGCATTAAAGATATACATATGCAAGCGAAGCAGGCATATAAACTATGGTTCCAGCACGGCCAAAGCGAGGAAATATTTATGTTAACATGTACAAAACTAAAAAGAAGTTCAAAAATAAATTAAAATGGTGCCAAAATAATGAAACTCAATTAAAAATGGATAGTAATATCCGCGCAAAGATCAAAATGCGATTTTAAGAGCTTTTGGAAATCAACTAACAGTCTGGCATTTAAGCCTACTGTGCTCGTCAGTATAAATAACACTCAAGATAGTAGTGATATCGCAGATATCTTTGCGCGTCAGTTTCAAATAGTAAAGAATAACGGCGGCAGCGGCAGCGGCTCGCGGGTGCCTTGTGACGTAGCGCGCTCGGATCGACGTGTGGTGAGTCCTTGTCTAACATATGTGTCAATTTGTCAGCTGCGGAGTTGTTTCAATGCATAAAAAACATGAAAAGAGGTAAATCACCTGGGCACGACGGTCTGAGCGTGGAACACATGTTAAGCCGCGTATCCACTAGAGGCAGCCTCGGGTCGAGCGGCTGCCTCACTCCGAGGCTGCGCAAGTGGAGACGCTGCCTCAACCTGAGGCACGCCGCGACGCGAGGCAAATTCGTCGCCGCGAGCCGAGCCATATTTTGTCGGTTTCTGTGCCGTGCCCAAAGGCGCCTCAGTCCGAGCCGTGTGTTTAATGGAGACGGTCGCTAAAATTTCGAAAGCTATCGCCACCTTCCAACGTCATGTCCAATAGCAAGTGTTCACATCCATCTATTGCGGTATAATTCTTTTATCCACCAGCGATGCTTCCTCTTTTTCTTAATAATGGTTATTGCTATTAAAGCAGCAGCTACTCGACGCGCGTCTGGTGCCATCGCGTTTTGGCTTTTAACTGCGCAGTGCGCCGCCAGCGGATCAAGCTGAGGCGACACGCCTCGAGCTGATCCGCAGCCGTTGCCTCAGAGCGAGCAGCCTCAAACTGAGGCTATTTGCTTCAAGTCGAGGCCGCTCAACGCGAGGTTGCCTCTAGTGGATACGCGACTTTATACGAAGGGGCATTATTACACGAATTTATTTCAAATTTTTTTTAACTTATGCCTGTCTCATTGTTATCTCCCTGCAGAATTTATGAAAACCGTTGTAGTGCCCATACCTAAGCATGGATCTGGTAATGCCTCGAATTCCCTTAATTATCGTCCATTTCTTTGGCTACCATCATGTCTAAGATCCTAGAGACTACTACATCCTGAACTTTTAAAGTATTTTAAATTAAATAATGCACAGTTTGGTTTCCGTGCCAGTCTTTCAACTGATATAGCCATTTTTGCATTAAAAAACACAGTAAAATATTATTAATAAAAACCAAATACAAGTTTATATGCGTGCTATCTTGATCTCAGCCGCGCTTTTGATATATTGTGGGCTAAAATGGAGAAGACAGGTGTGCCCGGTGAGATATTGGGACTATTTAAATATTGGTACGAAACCCAAAAGAACGTGGTAAAATGGGGTAGTGGCTTCTCCAAAGAATATAAGCTTGGGTGTGGCGTAAGACAGGGTGGCCTCACGTCGCCAACCCTATTTAATCTTTATGTGGACGGACTGATGGATGAACTCAGTGGGTCCAAAGTTGGCTGTTACATGTGCAATTAACGTGTCAATAACTTGAGTTACGCTGATGACATGGTCCTGCTGAGTCCCTCTGTAAGGGGCCTACGGAAACTTATCAATATTTGTGAAAGATATGCTTCACGTCATGGTCTGACATATAACGTGGATAAGACGGAGGTAATGATAATCAGGCATGATAGGACGAATATGTTTAACCCTGTTGTAACTCTGGCGGGATCACAGCTAAAAATCGTATCACAATTTAAATACCTGGGACATGTTATAAGAAATAACTTAAATGATGACGATGACATAGAACGACAAAGGAGATCCATTGCCGCCAAAAGTAATATGTTAGCTCGCAGATTTGCTCGGTGTCTTTCTATACCATTGCCAGTCGTTCTATACCAGCTTCTTGTGGAAAAACTATACAAAGAGAGCATAGCACACTTTACGTGTGCAGTACAATAACGCTTTTAGAGCCATGCTTAAACTGCCGTGGCGGTGTAGTGCGTCGGGCATGTTTGCGGAGAATAGGGTTGATGATTTCTACGCTGTATTGAGAAAAAGAGCCGCTTCTTTTATGGATCGCATTAGAATGAGTTGTAATTAAATAATTAGTGCTGTGTATGACTGCTGTAAATATGACATTTGTGATTTGTGATATTTGACATCCTTGCCTGCTGTAATCGATTTTATTTTATTTGACTCAATTATTATTTGTTTTTGATTTTATTCTATTTGATTTTATTTGATTGATAATTGGTTTATGATGTTATTTAAATTAATTGTAATTATCTGAAATTTATATTTTTATTATTGTGATTGTAATTATTTAATTTGATTATCATTTTTTTTCTAATTCTGTATGTAATATGGGTAGTACGCCTGAAATAAATGGTTATTATTATTATATTACAAATATTTTCTATTAAATAAGTATAAAGCAGGTATTAGATCAAAATTTGTTTCAAATGAGTTAAATTGACAAACATTGATTAGATACCTATAGAAAAAACTACACTTTACATACTATAAGTATTTTTTACAGATCTCTGCCGCAACTTGACTTTTCAACAGTCCGTGCGTGACTGTGAATGAAGTGGTTAAGTGGTGTTCAAGCACTTCTTGATTGGGACACATTTTGAGCGCACGTGGTGTATTTAATATCGTTGAGGTATTTCGGTAATAATGTGCGCGGACCGTTGGCGTTGCAAAAAAAAAAATGCGAAAACATTAACTTAGGTATATACATAGTTCGGTTTCTTCTACAGGTAACAATTTTAAATCAATGTTATGTAATTTTACGTGTTTGTACCAAATTTCGTTCTAAAACTGTAATGTTTAAAAAAAAATATATTATCTAATACTCAAAAATGCATTGCTGGTTGCGCAGCTGTCTCAATTCCTCGCGCTCCGTGAATATGATATTATTTATTACCTTTTCATTATTAAAGAAGAAGTCGTGCTCATTATATATTCAGTTACAGTTGCGAATAAATTGAATTATTTTTAAAAACATCCCGGGGTTTTTTGTACGAGTCAGTCAGTGCGCGCGCTATTATATTTCATAGTTCGCCGAGTGATCACAGCGACTGCATAGACGCTAAGTCGCGCGCTAAGTTGTGCGAAAAATAATCAAGTTTATTCGGACGATAACGTCGAAGTTTTTTGTGCATTTCAGTCTATTCACGATTTCTATTTCAAACAATTTAATAATGCGGTTTCTAGTCGGGTGGTCTGTGGCCGCCACTGACGCTCGTTTTGAAAGTCCGCCTTTAATGCAGCTGGTGGTGAGGTTTATTGATTTTACAAAAGTTAACTTACTTTGTTGTTTAGTAACTCTGTGACCATTGGAACATAATCCATTAATACACTTGATTGATGCATCCTAAAAAATAAAAGTATTTGTAAGTTATTAATTATCCAATTAATCTTAATCTGGCATTGAGAGTTAAGGTAGCAAAGCAAAACCAGAAGGGAACGAGCCCGAACTGTTTCCAAAAGGCGACGTTGGTGGGCCTAGCTCGGCCGGAAGAGAGCGCGGAAAGCCTAGCACTGGCATTAACAAGCAGCATAAGGTACAGCCATCACCGACCAACTCAGTCGTGGGCAGTGCCATCTTTTGGTAACTTACGGGTTAAGATCGCGCCCGAAAGTGACGGAAAGTGCGGTGGGTCCGTACAGGCCCTAGCTAGGGAGGGTAATGTTAATCTGGGGTACCCGCTTCCCAACGGGAGGAGTTATCGGCGGTCTAAGGCCGCAAATGTTCTGGAAGCGAGACACTCAGTGCGAGGTCCCGGATCAGTCCGAAGAAGGTTGGACGCGAACCTCGCCCCTCCCTCCTCTGATCTGGAGTCGGGCACCCCACGTTCCGCACGCATCGCGGGAGTAAGAGATCCAAGGAAACCGAAATCTTCCGGATCCCCCTGGACACCTCACAACGGAGGCAGAGATGGAAGAAATGGCGGCCCCACAGGCCCCCAAGGTACCCCGTACCAAGAAGGGGCGAGGAGGTCGAGGTTGGAGACGCCAAGCCCTTCGCTGAATCCTTCTGCGAGAAAGCGGAGGAAAGGGCTAACTCTGTTTTCAGCTTTGTCAGGAAAGCGGACCCAACGGGGCTCCGTATCCGGGTGGAGGGGTCAGAATACCAGTCGAGGGAAACCTAAAGTACCTCAGCCTGGTGCTGGACCCCGATGGAGTTTCAGACACACTCGGAAGCGACGTGCCGTCGGCTGTATCACGGCGTGATACGGTCAATGGCACTCTAGGGAGCACCGGTTTGGGCCGAGTGCATTAAACCCCGCACGGTGGCCCTGCTGTGCCGTGCGCAGAGGGTTATCGCGATCCGAGCGCGGCCTGCGTACTTGCAGGCGTGACGTCGTGGGACCTCGATGCACAGGTCCTGGCAGACTTGCATCGAGGTCGGGTTGAAGCAAGGGAAAAAGGCGAGCGACCAGCTGCAGCAGAGTTGCGGCGGGTCCGCTCCATCGCGCAGAGGGAAGTTCTGCGCCGATGGGACGAGGCACTGGCCCATGATGATGCCGACGACCGGACGATAGATGACCTTCGTCCGGTGTTGGAGTGGGTGGGGCACCGGCAAGGCGGTCTGATGGAATCCCTCGCTGCCCGGCATGGCGTTAGCTATGGCATTTACCAACGGATTCCGTGACGGCAGCACTCTCTTGTAGTTCTGCCATACATGAGAGGGCCGCAGAAGAACTTGCGAGGGAAACACTCTCCATCTCGCATCCGTGAGACCTGCGAGGCTAAGTGTGAGGTCCGTTCGTTGGTGTGCCCCTTAACCCTTAATTGACCCGGTAGGTACCTGGGACTCCATTAAAAACTTTCCCCGCTCATAAAATCGTTAGTTTTTGAAATTACAAATTGTGCGTTCCAATACCTTCACGGAGTGACGCTCCGAGTGCGGGGGACAACAGACGTTGCCGTTCGCGGCTTCTATCGGTAAGTAATCACGCTAGTGGAGTCCGTGGAACTCCAGCGGGGTATCAATGTTATAGTTTTAGTCTATGTACGGTATTTTTAACTGTGATTTTTTTTACTTTCAGTTGATATAATGGCGTCTCGTAGTTGTATAAACGTCCTTGATGAAGATGCTTGACTTCATATATAGACGACTTCATATATTTGCCATAGTTGTACTAAGCCTGTGTGCCTCAGCTGTACAAAAAAGTATGCAATAACTGTGTCATCAACCGTGACTAGAAGGTCTTGCACGTTTTTTCTTTCTTGTTCAAACCATGTTCTTTTTTACTTTAAATAAAAATTGTTTATATTTTTGTTATATTTCTTTGAAGATTACTTTATAATATTGATTTGTTTTTGAAATGTTGACATTAGAAGATAGGTCTCATAATTTTGTTACAAAAAGTGCGATCTAAAAGTTCCTTAATAAAAGACTGTAATTGAATGATTTTAACTAAAACCAAAAAAAAAAACAAATACATAAAAAGCAATTTAACTAGCATTTCATTTAAAAAAAATGGTTTACGATTTAAAACCCAGGAGTCCTGGGGACTCCACCGGGTAAAATGTGTATGTATGAAGTCACCGGGTAAACCAAGGGTTAAGGGTGCCTACGTCTGTAAATAAAAGGTTGCCTGGGTAAAACAAAAGGTGAGTCAAAGTAGAGATGTTAAAAAAAACAACTAATGGCCATGACTTTTGATTGCATCCAAATTGTAAGTGTAAATACAGATATTGCTTTCGGCAGAATCACCATTTCTCCTTGAACAAGCTTGCTTAAAGTTTTACCTTACTTATTATATTTATACTACTAGTGACCCGCCCTCGCTTCGCTTCGGTGTAGAGCTGTAGTGTAAACTATAGTTTTTGTTCTCAGGCTAGTGCTATAAACAATGACTTTATGTATATAATTACACGTGTTATTGTGAGTCAACCATAAAAGATAGACATATGCTGTTGCGGGATATTTTTTAGATAATTTAATGTAGAATATTTCCGTCATACATGATTTCTATGTAACTTTAACCATTAAGGCTGCACACGCGACGGAAGCTTAAAAAATGGAGTAACTTCTCCCGTTTTCCCAACATTTCCCTTCACTACTCTGCTGCTATTGATTGTAGCGTGATGAAAAGTATACTATAACCTGCCCAGGAGTATGAAAAATAATTGTACATACCAAGTTTAGTTAAAATCCGTTGAGTAGTTTTTGTTTCTATAAGGAACAAACACACAGACAGACAGACAGACAGACAGACAAAAAATTTACTGATTGCATTTTTGGCATCAGTATCTATCACTAATCACCCCCTGATAGTTATTTTGAAAATATATTTCATGTACAGAATTGACCTCTCTACAGATTTATTATAAGTATAGATTATATTATACTATTCGTTTTATACTATAATTAAACTCCAACAGGTAGACTACATACAATTAAGAAATCTTATTTAGAAACCACGAGGTTTAACCACACCACAGCTTAGGTACTAAAAAAAAATTAAGTAAAAGTAATACCTACACTGGTAAGACAATATTTCCAAGTGACTTGTTAAGCAAAGGAGATAATATTAATTCTGCATTTGTCGAATTGGGGTAACGCACAAGTAAAAGAGCAGTATCAATTCCAGGATTTTGTTCCACTCTGAAATAATAAAAAAAAACAATAAACGAAGTTGGCTACAAACTAATAGATAATTACCAAGTATATTATTTAACACAAACCCTTCATTGTACAATTCTGGAAGATGAGATGTATCAACATTTAGTTTGATTAAAAATTCTACAACATGTCCACCGACCCACACTTCAATATCATTTTCAGAAGTTACTGCATCACCCAATAGAGCACTGTATTCAAAAGATGCTCGGGAACTTTCATCTTCATTCAATTTGTTAATCTGGGTAAAAATAAAATTTAACATTTAAACTGAATACACATTACAACAAATTAAAATATGATGTACCTAGTTTATAACAGAATAAAGTACCTGATGTATTTTGTATAGATGAATCAGTTCTGATATAACATCACTTAAAGCTTTAGGGTTACTTTCATTCCATTTGGAAAGACTTGGTAATCTTTGTTCAATAATTTCTACATCACAATTATTTAGGAAGCTATCATCATCAAATCTGAAGTCGGGTGCAAACCAAGGAGTCATGGGATCGAAAATGACTTCCCATTTTAGTTTTTTTGAACAGTATGGTAATACAAGGCGGAATTGATTTTCAGCACCTTCACACACTACTGATATTCTTTCTATATCAACTTTAGTTTTACACAAACCTGAAAAAAATATAATTTTTACTATTTTACCATGCAAACAAATTATTTTCTTATCAAAGTCTTATAATTGTTTAGTTAATAATTTTAGTAAAGAGATACACATGAAGGAAACAATACCCAGTTTTAAATCTTGATAGACACACTGTATAAACGGACGAAACGCAGGAGTTATGTCAAGTAAAAGACCTAAACAACTTTCGTTAGACATAATGTTAAATTACAAAGTGTTATACACGGTGATATAATTGTTTTTAGTAGTATGAAGCTGAAATAAATAGAAAACTGAGATCTTCCTCTCTTGCTCCGCTTGTTCTTGTTTGTGTTTTCCGACCGTTTTGCAAACAATAAAAAGGAGCTTAATTATAATCCTCTTACTGAATGAGTTAAATTAAAAACATTTTCTTCTTCTTTTTTATGGCATGCACGGTTTGTGCGTTCAGCCCATAGAGTAACTTTTGGTTCAGCCAATGTCAAGTAAAAATTAGGGAAACAATGGGAAAAAAGGAATCGGAAATATTACGAAATTTGGAAAGGATCAGGATTGTAAAAAATACATAATATACATATTTACATTTATAAATTTATATACATATTTAAAGTTTTATATTATTGAGCAAAACAAAAGATATAATACATTTATACACCGATAGGTCATTAGTATGTAGAAGTGTAGCTTTATTGGTCGGGAAAGGTATATGAAGGGATAATAAGTCTTTAAAAAGTAGGGATCTACGGAATAGAGGACAGGAAAACACAATGTGATCAACATTTCCCTCATCGAACCCGTAGTCACACCTAGGATCATATAATATATTGAGTTTGGCAAGATGGGAAGGCACAGACGTATGGCCCAGTCTCATTCTATTAATCATGGACGTCTCCGTCTTACCAAACTTCATGTTAAAAAACCAAGGTTTAGAAGGAACATGAACCTGAATTGCAGCATAACATTTACTTTTGTTAGTTTACTATATTTCTACATTTGTTCCCATTTTTCCCGCAATACAGATTTAGGAATAGCTAATAAATCTAAACAATAGATTTGGAACGGAAAGACATCGCCACTTGATACAGCATCTCTTGCCAGACTGTCAGCTAATTCATTATCAGCTATGCCGATATGGGCAGGAATCTACGCAAATTCTATATGCTGACCATTTTTGATACATTCCTGTGTCATTTGCCTTATATATTAAAAATTATAGGGGAATAATTTTTCAATTTAAATGGGAACTTTTCTAGCGATTGTAAGGCACTTTTTGAATCTGTAAATATTACAGCAGATTTAAGTTTCATGATTTTAATGTATTCAACTGTTTTAAAAATACCAAAACATTCTCCTGAATAAACCGACGATTCTGGAGGAAGTTTGACTTTCTGCACTATATTAAACTGAGAATGATAATTCCCTTCCCCAACACACGTAGTCGATAAATGTTTAGAAGCATCGCAAAATACATGGTGGAAATCATTAATAACATGAGAAAATTTTAATTTAGCATTTAAATCATATTTGTCTACTAAACCATAATGCACGACAGGGGAATAAGTTAAAGCTTCAAACGGAACATTAAATATAGGAAGGAAATTAGAACTGTATGTGGGGGCAGAAAGTGAAGCAAATCTTCTATAACTAATTAAAAGACATGGTAGAGATTTATTGGCGCAATAACTATAAGTTTGAATTTTTTCGTTGAGTTCTATAAGTAAAGAAAGCAATGGATGATTAGAAGTTTGGATTGTACGAACAAAGAACTTGTCGCAGATGAATTGCCGTCGCAATACTAAAGGAGGTTCACAGCATTCTACTTGCATAGAGTTTATTGGACTCGATTTCATGGCTCCTAATATTATTCGAAGGGCTTTACTCCGAATTTTATCTAGTTTATTAAAGGCTGTTATATTTCCTGGTTCTAGCAAAAAGGAGCCATAATCTAAAATGCTTAAGAGCATTATAAATCAATCTTAGAGAATACGAGTGGGCGCCCCACCAAACTCCTGACAGGCACCTTAGCATGTTCACCATGCGATCGCATTTGTTAACAACATATTCGCAATGGCGGTTGCCAGTAAGCGACGAAGCGAAGTAGAATCTAAGACGACGCCCAAGAATTTGACGTGGTCCGCAACTGGAATTACAATGTTGTCGTAAGTTAAAGAAACGGGATTGAGTTTATTCTTGCGTGAAAAAATTACAATAGAACTCTTAGAAGCAGAAAGTTCTAAGCCATTAGAATCCATCCAACTTTTTAAATTTGACAATGCTGCTGACAAAAACCTCTGTGACTCATCAATGGATTTATTAATATCATACAGCAAAAGGTCATCGGCATACTGAAGTATCTTAATATTGTTGTTTTGAGCAAATAGCGTTTTCTAAATCGTGTGTGTAAATATTATATAAACTAGGACTAAGTACAGATCCCTGTGGAAGGCCTTATATTTGAGTATATCCAATAAAACATTATCATACGCGGAAGACAAGTCAACAAATACAGCTACTAACGAATTGTTTTCTGCAAAAGTTATGCGAATATCTGTGGTGAGGATAGAAATATTATCAAGACTGCTTTTACCTTTTCTAAACCCATACTGGGTATTAGAAAATAATCCTTTACTCTCAATAAACCATTCTAAACGATTTTTAATCAAATGTTCCATTAAGTTTAACAAAACTGACGATAAAGCGATGGGACGATATGAAAGTGCTTCAGATGATTTTTTTCCCGATTTTAGGATGGGCAACACTGTTTGCTATTTCCAAGATGGAGGAATGTTACCGGAGATCATCACAGAATTTATGACATCTAAATAATATTGTAACGTACTGTTGCAAACATTTGAAAAGTAAACATACGGGATGCCGTCATTCCAGGGGCAGAATTCTTACAATAGGCTAGTTGACTCATGTCGAATTGTATTAAATAAATGTTTATTTCTTACAGTATTTGGTCTAAGGAACCTAAATATATCGAGTTCACTTCATTAGCATTCATTCAAAGCAGAAGATTGCTGTAGAAATTTAATTTTAAAAAATATTTTTTAGTCTATATTTTTTAAACACTAAAAACGCTGTTCGCCACATCCGCCATGATTGTGACGTCTCTTTCAGTAAACAATTAAATGTCATTCGAGGAATTTCAAAAAAATGTGTAGTATGCGAAAACAAAATTTTTTTTTTACATGTTAGGTTTTTGTAAAATATTTTAATTTCGGGGGCAGCACAGAAATGTCTATTTTTATAAAAAAATGATCTGTTTTATTGAATACAAACTATTTTAATAAGAAATTATTGAAAATGCAAGCCAGGACGAAGAAACTTCGTCAATTTTGTTACTGTCTAAGAAAACTAATTTAGAATATTCAAATTTAGAAAATTGAATTTTCTTTGACAAATCTAATAAAACGAATAGTTTGTACATCATAATCTTTCATAAATTGTGTGATCTTAAAGTAAATTTTAGGGAAAAACTGATTATAATAATAATTTTGTTACTACTGATGACGAACAAACTCTTAAGTTAACTTAGAAATGTTAACATTTCTGCCCTAAATCGAGCACATCAGGTTTAATGCTATTTAAAATTGCAGTGGTTTGTATTTTCTGTAAAATTATTATCCAAAATCAACAATTTAAATAATTATACTACAGAAATAAAAATATTTTTTTGCCAATATTTAGAGGGACAATAACAAAATTCACAGTAACAAAATTATTAAGAAGATTTTACACGCGCCTTATAAATAAAATTACACATTTTAATTAATGATATAATTTTATTGAGATCTTACAGTGCTTACCTAGAACAGTCTATTTATTAGGTTTGGAACTTAAAAAATGTATCATAAAATTGACTAAATGACCATATTGGATAATGTGACACAGATCATAAAACTGAAAAATTATTTCTATGTTGACCATTCGGTAGACGTTTTGTCGTAATTGAGTAATCGACGTTATATTATATAGATTTTTTTTAATATTATTATTCGGCATAGTAAAAGTTGTTCAGTTGCATGGTCTGAGTCACCTTACTATAGTACCTATTTATTTTTATAACAGCACTTTAATTATCATTTTGGCTAAGATATTAACATAAAGGAATTAAAAATATATGTATTTTTACGTACTGCTAAGCAGGCGCTTAATAAAAATATTTAGACATCTAAAGCTAGAATAATCACAAATCACATAATTTTATATTTTTCGTAATTTTGTAATAATGTCATCGTAATCACAATGTTTTTGCTATTTAAGTATAATGGAACTGATAAAAATATTGATTCTGGCATACTTAGTAGCTATTTAGAACCACTTTAACGCACTTCACAAAATATTGTTTCTTATCGTACTATTTATTTCAATAATCATTGATTTTGGCAAACATATTAAATTAAATACCTATATTTTAGAACTTACAAATATATTCTAATCTTTTTCATATCATAATGGATTAGAATTTAGATATTACAGGTGAACGCACCTCGCACACTTCCGACGCGGACGATTCGACGCGGGGAAGTGTGCGAGGTTTCATGAGAGAATTCTATTTAGAATTCTGTATATGAAAATAAAAATAAGCAGACAATAAAAAACGTATTTGAATATAACAATATTTAAAACTCTTCTGCTTTTATTATCAGACCTTTTAAGAATGTTATTCTTAATCATCAGAACTAAACGAAATCAGATAAATAAATTATTAAAAGTAGTAGGAACCTTGTTCAGAATCTTTTATTCTATTGCCACGCGATAAAAGTAAAACTAAAAAAAATTAAAACAATAGTCACATTCATCAAGAGGATAGTGTTCATAAACACAAAAGTTACAATGATAACACCAAAAATTTGGCGTATTCAATAAAGTTTTAATATTTTCTCTAGTCATGGTCAAGACAAAGTGTGATGGTCTTGAAGTAGCGCCGACTTGATTCTTGCATCCGAAACATTTTTTCATTAACATGAAATGTGTCTGTTCAAAAGGCCACTGGAGCATAAATGTATAACATTGTTTGAAATCATCCATTGTCAAAAATTTATCGATATCCATCGTTGTCAGTATCATACTTAATGTAGGTATTATTTAATCTGAATCTGCACCTGTAAAAAAAGGCACATATTTATGACAGAAAATTAATCGGTGATGATCGCCACTCTGAGAACACAACTGCCAAAGGGTGCGTAATGGAATAAGAATTAAATTAAAATTGAACTGTAATAGATTAAAATGATAGCACATTATAAGAGTACCTACAACTGAAATTTTTCGAGACTGGTAACTCTTAGGAAAACTCTTAATAATAACTTGAACCATGTAATTGGAAGTATGTCTTAATTTTATAGAAAAAAACCGTACCTTGCAAGCAAGTGTCACATATATAGTCAAAAAACGAATAACCACCGGCACATTTTTCACAGTAAATTTTTTTACAGGATATGCATTTAATTTTTCGGCCTAAAATTGAAGTACATTTGTGATGCTCTTGAACAGGCTTAAATTCTTTCGAAATTGTTTTTTTGTCACTCAACATTACGATTGGCAATAAAGCAATTTCCATTAAATCTATATTTTTAGAACAGTCGCTAATAACGTTGCCTATTTCATTCAAGTCTATTGAATCATACGTGTACGATTCTATGCTATGTATAGCTGTTTTTTGTGTCAGATCACAATCTGTTGCCAATGGATCTATGTTTGTAATACCATGGTGAGGTGAAACCTCTACTTGTATATTATTTTCTTTAAGAGGTACTGTTTCTTCCAATTTAAGGGTAATATCAACCAAACCACTGTGTGAATTTCTTATATTAGAAGGAGACGGAAGTGACAAATTTTCTTTATCGTCATCTAAATGACGTTTCAACATGGTATGACTCCGAGTGGAAAAACATGCACAATTACCTCGTAAAGGTTCACAAAAACAGCTAACATCTCTGAATTTCAAAATGTTTGGATTATGTGTTGTAATAATTTGATGTAAATTCATAGTACCCTTTAAGGGAATCAGATCTTTTGGAAGTAATTTTGTTATTTCAGCAACTCTTTCTTCTGCGATTAGAAATACTTTTACTGTATTAAGTGATTGCTTTAGCACATTATAAGCATCTTTAGCATTTGCAATATCCATTCCGTAGCATGTTTTTCTATCCAACAACCTTTTAACACAGCCCCCTATACCATCCGCTGCACTCTTCCCATGGCCACTTTCAAAATATGACCAGGTAGACTGTAGCATATTATATTTTTTTGTAAAAAGTGAGTGTAAGTAAAAATTATTTTTTTGCCTGTATTGTGAAGATGGGCCGTCTGAATAAAAATGTAACGTATCAACATTAGGTGTTTTATCTTTTATCAAATCGAGTATTGGGCTCAAATGTGCCCATATGGCTGATGGCTGATGATTATTAGTATCGGAAATGGTGCAAAACGATTGGGCCTTATTTTTCCAATAGATGATACCAGTATGAAGGGTGATTTGAGCCTTTGAGGCACCAAAGTGCATAGACTGGATTTCCTCTGATAATTTTGCTTCAAAATTTTCTGAAAAATCACACACGATCAAGGCTTCATTGACCTTTAATGTTGTAACAGCATTTTGATATTCTTTTATTTGTTTCACCATGTTAAAATGATGCTTTTTAAATGATTGTAAACAAGTGTTAAATTTTTTTAGAAGTTCTTCAATTGTGCCCGTTTTCAACGATTTTACCATTTTTTTAGTCTTCATTAATTTCTGTTCTGTGCCTTCATTTTTCACGTAAGTATGATCTTTTCGCTCCCACTCAAACCAAGTCACTATTTTTTCTTTATCATTTTCATACGAATTTGAAACTTCAAATTGCCGTTCTGCGCATTCCTTACAGTTATTGTACATACAACTGTAATTTTCTGTACTACAAACCAGCTGTTTTAAAAGTTCATTAAAGTTGTTTTTTAATATATTATGCTTTTTTAAAGTAGTATATAGGAATTTTAAAGTGCTGTGCTTAATACACAAGCAAGTTTCTCTTGAATTTACGTGTGGTGATAAAATAAAGTAGGGCTTTTGTTTGTAGAATGTAGTAAATCCGTACCGACCACCTTCGTTTTTATATTTTTTATAAAGGTTGGTCAAACTGTCTAATAAATATCGAATTTGATGTTTCTCCTTATTTTGTGTTCTTGTTTCTTTTTTGCCTGCGGTGTTTCTACTAATATCATCTCTCATGTAAAATAATCTAATTTCTTGTATTATTTTAACTCGTTTTGCTTTTCTCTTTCTATCATTGTATATGTTTTTTAACCCAAATAACTTCGCTATATAAGTTTTATTTCTTGTATTTTTAATTAAACTTTTAAATACACGTTTATCATGGTGTTTTTTACAACTCCTGTATGTTTTTTGTAAAACGCTCTTCAATATTTCCTCTCGTGCTTTCGCCTTTTTTAAAGATTCTCCCATTTCTAATAACTGTTTATTGGTTTGTGCCTGAATACGTTGATATTTCTTTTTGTAGCAATCTTTTAGTTTTCTATAACTTTCAATATATTTCAAATATTTTTTGCATTTATTCTCAAGTACTCTGCACTTAGTTTTCAATTTTTTAATCACCTTTTCTTCTTTAACCGTACTAGTCTGAATTTCATTTTTCTCTTCTTGCAACCTTTGTCTATCTCTTTTACGACGTCTACTTTTGCGTTGATAAGCTTTCCATTTCTGTCTTTCTAGTTCTTTCTCTTCCACTGACATTTCCGACACCTTTTTCTTTTTTGATTTTATTCTGTCTAGATTTTTTTTACGTTGTTGTTCATATTTCTCCGGATTTTCATTTTTCATACGTTCCCTATACCTACGCTGTTTTTCTGCTGCACTAAGTGGCATTTTCTACAAACAAACAAGTAAATAATAATAGAATGTCTTATGGTGAAGTCCGAAAACATTCGAGATACGAAAGTAATCTATAAGGCAATATTAGCTGATTTATATAAAAAGCAAAAAATAAGGCTTTCTGTCATGCACGGCAACTACTGCTTCTTTGACTTCCGAATCAATTATAAATTGAAGTTAAAAAAACTAAGCCAGACTACTTATCCGTAAAGCGACATAGACATAGTTAATATAAACTTTTCATTTGTTATCAAACACATTTATTTTTAATAAAAAAAAAATGTTTGTAAGATCCGCAATATTGAATCCGTTGTCGTATTCACGTCATTACATCCATTACTACTCCCTTTATGAAG